ATTTTGTCAGTTCTCTCTCTCTGGAGGGTGGATAACATTTTTCATCATGAGTCCTTTGGATCTTTTTTTTTTTTTGGCTAGGCAGTGGGGTTAAGTGACTCACCCAGGGTCACACAGCTAGTAAGTGTTAAGTGTCTGAGGCTGGATTTGAACTCAGGTCTTCCTGTGCCACCTAGCTTCCCCTCCTTTGGAATTTTTGTGGTTCATTGTAATCATGAGAGTAACTAAGTCTTTCATAGTTGATCATTGTACAGTATTGCTGTTACTATTTACGATGTTCTGTTCACTTCACTTTATATCAGTTCATTTAAATTTTCCCAGGTTTTTCTGAAATCACCTCCTTCATCTCATAGCAAAATAGTATTCCATTGGGGCAGCTAGGTGGAGCAGTGGATATAACACCTGAGTTCAAATCCAGCCTCAGACACATAACATTCACTCGCTGTGTGACTCTGAGCAAGTCACTTAACCCCAGTTGCCTCACCAAAAAAAATAGTATCCCATCACAATCATCTCCCACAACTTGTTCAGCCATTTCCTAATTGATGGGCCATCTCCTCAATTTCCAGTTCTTCGCCAGTACAAAAAGAACTGCTATAAATATTTTTGTACATATAGGTCCTTTTTCTTTTTCTCTGATATCTTTGTGATTCAGGCCTAGTAGTGGTATTGCTGGGTCAAATAGTATATGGTTTTGTAGCCCTTTGGGCATAGTTCCAAATAGTTCTGCAGAATGGTTGACCCATTCAAAACTCTACCAGTAGTGTATTACTGTATGCATTTTTTCACATCACCTCCAGCATTTTCATTTTCTTTAAGGGGTAATTTTTAGTAAATGTAGAGAATATTTTTAAAAATCAGCTATTTTAAATTATACGACAAGAAACTGAAAATTTAGAGAAAATAGATGAATATTTGCTCCTCAAAACTGTAAAAACTTGATGTAAATATTTGCTGACTAGCAGATTTGATAATCTAAATAACCTACCAGTACACATAAGAATTTCTATGATAAAAACAATTTTCAAAGAAATAAAAGATGACCTGGCTAAGTAGAAAATTCAGGATTTTTAGCTAAGGAGGCTAATACAATAAAAACATTGATAATCTATTAATCTACAATTTTGCTGTTATACCAATAAAATACTGTGGGAAAGGGGATGAGTATGGCAGTACTTTTTGAGATTGTACAGAATAACTGGTATTCTTTAAAAGTTAAGAGGGATTGAGGAAGGCCTGTAGCAAATTCATGGCAACATATAAACAAGAATTCACAGGATAGGCAGGTGAGATTGAGTTATAATTTAACCTGTTTTGTGTCACTTGCTTAGGGCAGGACCATATTTGTATTAAAAATGCCTTTTGTCTGTTAAGAATAATTCTGGTTATTGTTTGAATGTGGTCCAGGGTTCCTCATATCACACACACACCCCCTCAAATCATCTAGAGCTAGCTAAATTTCTTTTGACTGGCTTGATCCAGTAATTAATGATTTACTGATTTGTTGGTCTTTTAAAATATTTATTAAAATTGTGTTGATGCCTTTTCTGAATGTATCCCTCCCCTTCCTCTACTCTGAGAACCATTTCTTGTTACAAAGAATAAAACCAAGCATCAGAGAAAGGAAAAGGAAAAACCAGTTCAGCATAAGCTAACCCTCACCCCACCTGAATCTGACAGTGTATGAAGTGCTCCATGCTCAGTCTCCCACTTCTGCAAAGAAGGAAGGGGTACATCTTTTCTTGTTTGTTTAGAAATTTAAGTTTGGTTATTAAAGTTTTTTTGGTTTTTGTTATTTTTCAAAAACAAAAAGCCAGTTCTCAAGTTTCACAAAATCACTCATAGAGTCTTTATCAAAGATTTCTCTCTTCTCAGATTTTAAGGCTGTGTCTTTTTATCATCTTTTTTAGTCCTTAGAGACCAGGAAAATTAGGCCTAGCCTTAGTAATTGCTCTAATTAATAGTGACAGATACTTCTTATGGTATATATACCATTAAACTCTCAGATTATCACTTATCTGCACTTTTTTCCAAACCCCCTTAAGTTAACCCTCAGGAACAATGGAAGGGCCACTTCTGAGTAGTTCTCAGCCCTTTTTAACTTAAATCGGTTTCATTCTTCTCCAATCAATCTATTTTATACAAAGCAGTAAATATTTATTAAGCCTTTCTTTGTGTGATGTACATTGCTAAACACTGGGGATACAGAAACAAGAAAAATAATCCACTCTCAAGGGGCTTTTACGTTACACTGTAAACAGTTAGGTAATACTTGATTATTTCAAGAGGGAGAGAGCACCAACAAATAGAACAGAGGTTTTTACCTGGGCTGGGATTTTTGAATTGGTTTTTTAAAGTACTGCTTTTATAGCTGTATTTCAATGTAGCTGATTGCCTCTGTAAACCTATATGTTATTCATTTTAAAACACTGTTCTGGGTTCATAGGCTTCACCAGAGGGGTCTGTAACACAGAACTAGTTAAAAACAACATAGAGGGATCTGGAAGGGCTTCCAATGCAAGGTAGGACTTGAGCTGAGCCTTAAGGGAAACTAGGGATTCACTTTTAAGTGGACAGAGTTGAGGTGGGAATGCATTCCAGGCCTGAGGAAGCACTTAGGCAAAGATATAAAGGTAGGAGCTTGAGTGCTGAACTCTAGAAATTGCTAATAAAGTAATTAAGTTTGGCCGAAACTTGTGCTTGAAGGGGGAGTATTGTGAAAGAAACTTGGAAGAGTAAACTGGAGCCAGATTGTGAAGTAGTTTACATTTTATCCTTAAAAGTAATAGAGAGCCACAGAAGACTTTTGAGCAGAGGAATGATAACAGTCAAACTTGTGCTTTAGGAAAATTACTTTTTCCAAAAGTTTTTAATTGTTGGCCTTTTTTTTTTTAAGGGGGAGAGGTTGGTGCAGTGAGTAACTTTTACCATAAATTACTTTTTTGAACAGCTGAGGGAAGGAAGGAATGCAGAATGAATATTATTGTTATTATTATTGTTGTTGTTGTTGTTGTTATTATTATTATTATAGTTATGAATAATTCAGGTTCTCTGATGAAGAATGTAAAACCTTATATTTTGCTCTGGGCTCTTATTCAGATGTAAATGGATATCAAAGTACCATTATAATTGCTTGGGAATTAAAATATTTTAATTTAGGAATTTTAAAAAAATCTGATTTCTATTCTTCCCCAATTATTATCCATTATCAATTGTTTAAACAGGGTAGCAGATGTTTAAAATTGGGGTTACTGAGTTCTCTGTCTTGCTTTTCATAATCCTTGAAGACTATGAGAAGAAGTGTTGTTCACTCATTTTCAGTCATGTCCGACTCTTCATGAAATGAAACCTCATTTGGGGTTTTGTTGTCAGAGATGCTAGAATGGTTTGCAGGTTCCTTCTCCAGTTCATTTTACAGATGAGGAAACTGAGGCAAACAGGGTTAAGTGACTTGCCAAGCAGCTAGTAAATGACTGAGGCCAGATTTGAATTCACAAAGAGGAGTCTTCCTGACTCCAGGCCTGGTGCTCTATCTGCTGCACCACCTAGCTGCCCAGTTTGTATTGTCCTGTATCAGGGAAGCATACTACCAGATTTCTTTATCATGATGTTTTCTGAAGGTACTTTACAATCTTATTATAGATCACTTTCAAAGCTGGCACTAAATAGGGTACATTTTAGAAAGATTATTTTGAGACTTCTGTGAAAGATGTATTGGAGAGGGGAAGAGTCTAGAAGCCAGGAATCCAGTTAGGAAGGAAGGGAGTAATGGGTTCTGTTTTGAATGTTCTGAGTCTTCCTATTGGACATCTAGTTGGAAATGATAAGCATTTACTGGCATAAGACTGAAGTTTAACCTATGATTTTATAATATTTGACCCTTCTTATATTTTTATTCAGTTCTTTCATAGTAATTTTTATGTGTTTTTAGTGTTTTTTCCAATTTTATTGTTAGGTATTGGAGGGCATGGACCACATCTTAGACTTGGCCAGAGGGTGGAGGGGAGTGTGTCTTTATGACACCTAATCATTCGTTTGTACTTATCGAGAGCTTATTAAATATTTCCCGTCTAATTTGTAGAAGCAAGTATCCAGATCAAATTGTAACTCTAGTGTCTAGGCAGTTTGGGAACGGCACCCTTCTTGTATGTTATGGAACCCACACTGCCCTCTCTCATATATAAGTTAGTCCAACCTACCTCTGGACATCTCTAGAAAAATGCAGAGATTCAGCTTTGGTGATAATGGGGATATAAATAGTGAGTTTTGCTGTTTTTTTAAAAATATGAGCAAGTGTCTCTTAGAAGCTGGCTTGTAACCTAATCAAAAAAACTCTTACTTTAGATAGAGAAAAGGGATACATACAGATGGATTTGTTATAGTTTACAAATGTATCTTTCATTATGTCATAGATATGGTCTTGAAAAGGTGTTTCTACATCAAATTGTAATTTTAAGTTACCAGACAAGTTTGACGTTTAAAAGAACCTTAGTATGACTTGTTTTGTGAAACCTCTTCCCTCATTACTGTTGTTTTCTAGTCTGGATTCTGGTGATTGTTTAAAATATTTTGTTTTGAGATTCAAGATCTTACATGTTGATGGTAAAACTCACTTTGACTATAGTAGTGTTTCCTCTTTTTAGTAGTTGGAACTTGAATATGTAAAACAAATTTGGTCAGAAACTTTTCATTTTGAAAAATTAATACTGTTACCCCAATATCAAGATGAAATCAGAAATGTCATTTGTCCTATATGATCCTAGACTTTTTTATGTTAGCAACTAAAATTTATACTAATGCTATCCCTATTTTATAAGTTAGTCATAGGCAAGAAATACTAAATATTTGAAATTAATCAGAGTAATCCCTCTTTAGGAAAGGAATGTGTATGTGTTCATTTTTGCCTATGGAATTTTGTACTGTACCAGTGTGATAGCCTGTTCACTAAATTTTACATATTTCATTTTCTTTTCTTTTTTTTTTCTTTTTTTTTTTTTTAGCTCTTCAGAGAAGTAAGAATAATGAAGATTTTAAACCATCCAAACATAGGTACTTTTGTTTTATTTTAAATGCTTATTGAATCAAATGCATTCTGGAAAGGCATGTCTCAAAATTGGATGTCTCTTCCAAGAAAGGTGGCCCTTTTATGATTACGTTTTCTTAAAATGTGAAACTGTTATGGCTTTGATTTTCTAGAACTTCACATAAGAGAGTATGTGTGATCTGTCTCTGAGTTGGTAGAGTTCTTGCCCTGACATAGTAAGCTATTAGGTATTAAATGCTTCTCAATTTAATACTTAAATGCTGTCGTTTTGTATATGGCTGAATATTTTAAGTAGGATTAATCTACTTGTCATGTGCCACATTTGTCACTGTTGCAGGTCTTTTACCCTAACCATTAATTCTTATAAATTGTTGGATAGAGAGAAAAGAAACACAGAGATGGAAATTTGTTATAAATGTATCTTTATGCAAGAAACATTCCAGAAAAGTTATTCTGTATCAATCCATGTTTTAAGTCACTAAGGAAATTAGAAGTTAAAAAAAGTCTTAGTGTAACCTCTTTTGTGAAGCAAACAATCATCCCTACTTTTTATTTTGTGTAAACCTTATTTTCATGTGTCATATTCATATTTCAGATAGGATTGTGGCCATATAGCAAGTAAACAAAAGATGGTTAAAAAATTATTATAGGACATAGTGAAATCACTGTTTTAAAAGTAGCTAGTATTTTCAAGTAATCATATAGTTTGTAGAAAATCAAGTATCTCACTACTTGGATATTTTCAGTACTTGAAAAAAAATTTTTTATATATGTATCTTAAATAATTGAAGACAGAACAGAAACTAGGGTTTCTTTTTCTGAAACAGTGGGAAATGATTTTTTTCCTCAATAAAAATGATCACGCCAGGATTAGCATGGCTAAGTTCACAAAAGCACTTTATAGAAAAACTGGCTGCCATAGTCAGTTAAGGTATGGATAAGCTGCAATCTGCATCAGTGGAAGAAGCACAACTTACTTCTGGTTTTACACATAGGTGCAAGTGATACTGCCAGAAGGAAATCTAGAAAGCATTACTAAGGATTATAAAGTTTTAGGCAAAAAACTGAGAATTTTAATGGCTAGGGGATGTTCTCACTGCTATAAAATGAAGATAAATATAACAGAAAAGAAAAGGCACATTTGGGAACAAAACAGCTGGTTAGTGAAATTGTGTCTAAAACAGGATTTGAATTTTGGGACTGTATGTTAAAATATAAAAAGAATAGCAATCTTAACTATCAAAGGCTGATAAAATGTTTCTGCCTGGAGTCCAGCAAATCTAGTCAAAAGGGCTTCCCTTTGGGAAGAGGGAGAGAGGAGAGTACTATGTATTTCGGCGATTTTGAGCTCCAATAGTAGTAATAATGCCTAGAAAGCCGTGTCCAAAAAAGGAGCCCCCAGGAACCTCATGGCTTCAGAAGACTATACAAAACTGCAGAAGTTTATTTAACAGCCAGATGAACTCAAAAGTTCTAAGATTTGAAGGATGGTGCTTTTTCTTGTAATATGGCTGTGGAAGATTCTTCCTTATTTGGAAGCAACCAGCTAGGTAAAAGGGGGGTTGTAATGTAATATATTTAAGAAGTTATATTCATTTGCGGAAAATTAGAAAACTTGAAGGGGAAAAACATACTGGAGGACATTAGAGCAAAGGTTAATGGAAGAATTAAAACAAAATGAACTAGTCTTATATCTGAAAACACTGTACACCATCGAGACAGAAGAAGTAGATGAGTTCTGGAAGCAGATCACAAGCCTAGCATGGAGACATGAGTAGATGGAGGACTTCATTTATCTTGACATTTATTGAAGCTCTTTCTTGTAAAAGTAGAGGAATTGATTTCTTAATGATAATTTAATCCTACAAAAAGCAAAGGAATCAACAAAGAGAACTGTCATTCCAGACCTGATTCTGCATTAGGAGGAACTAGCTGCTAAAGCAGAAGTGATATTAACCTTGAGAGGACATAGCTATTTTATCTTAAAATTTGTCATAGAGTAGAGGAAGGCTGACCATAATCTGATGTACGCTGTAAGTTTTGGGAATGCAGATTTCAAAGGATTCGAAGAAAGGATGAGAATCCCATGGACTAAAATTCTACATCAAAGTCAGTTCTACTGAGTTTTAATTTTCCCAAATAAAATTCGGCTGACAACAAAAAACAGTTCTGATGAGTTGGAATATAGGGAGTTCTTTGAAGATACCAATGTGGAAATGTGGCGAGAACTTAAATATGCATATAGGAAATGGAAGCAAGGTCAGGTAACAAGCATGAATAGATAAGAATAGTCTCTATAAGTATAATGACCAAGCTTGGCCCGAGCGGAGATAAGAAAATGTATCTTTCTCCCTTCTTTGCAGAGGTTGAGGGGAGAGGGAAGAAAATGTGTTAGGGATATTGCATGTGTACTAGTGTGACTTGATAGGTAGGTTAGCTTTTCTGAGCTGATTTTTTTTTTCTTTTTTATTCATTGCAACAGATGATGACTCACAGGGGATTGAATAGGAAAAGGGATATATTTTGAAATTAAGGTGATAAGAAAAGAAGATATAGACACAAATTTTAAAAGAATTTTAAAAGAAAACTAAAACAAAAGCATCATAGCCCTATGGGAATATTAAGGATGACAGAAAGGTTGTTTTTATTTTAAACTATGCAGAGAAAAAGAAGAAGATCAAAGAAGGAATAGGACTACTACTCAGGATGGGATAAAGACTGGAGACAATGGGGATCAGGAAGAAGTGTGCAATTCTTGTTTTCTTCTGTTTGATCCATGAAGGAAACGAATTTGAGAATTGTAAAGAACCAAACAAAAATGACTAATGGGAACTTGAAAACCAAAATAACTATGGAGATAGTAAAGGGCTACCTAGCCAACCTTGATAAGTTCAAGGTGCCAGTCCCTGATAGACTCTATATCCCAGGGTACTAAAAGAATTGGTGAATGCATTTACTGAACCATTGTAATCTTTGAAAGCTTGCATAAATGACAACATAAATTCCTCCAAACACCTCCCTACTTATTACTGAATAATAACTAGTATTTATATAGTGTTTTAAGGTTTACCGAGCACTTCACACATCTCATTTGATCCTTACAACAACTCTGTGAAGTAGGTGCTATTATTATTTTCCCCATTTTTCAGATGAGGAATCTGAGGCTGACAGAGGTTAAGTGAAGACTTGCCCAGGGTCACACAGCTAGTGTCTGAGACAAGATTTGAACTCAGTTCTACTTGACCTCAAGTCCACCTAAACTGGATAGCAGGTTGGCTTAAATTAGATTTCAAACTCCATCTTATACCATATGCCATAATGTACACCTGAATACTTAAGGTTACACTAGAAAAAATGAGAAGATCAGATGGCTTTCATAGCTGTCGGTCATAAAGTCAATAAACATATTAAGCACCTACTGTGTGCCAGGCACTGTGGTAAGTGCAAGAGCTATAAAGAAAGGCAAAAACCAGTCCTTCTCTTAAGGAGCTCACAGCCTAATTGGGGAGACAATACGAAAACAACCATGTACAAACAAGATATATAGAGGATAAATAGTAGATAATCAATATAGGGGAGGCACTAGCATTAAGAGGGAGTCAGGAAAGCTTTCTTGTAGAAGGTAGGATTTTAGCTGGGACTTGAAGGAAGCCAGAGAGCAGAGATGAGAAGGGAGAACATTCCAGGCATGAGACAGCCAGTGAAAATACTCAGAGTTGGGAGAGATGGAGTGTCTTTTATGAGGAATAGCAAGGAGGCCAGCGTCACTGGATCTCAGAATATGTCTTGGGTGTAAGATCTAAGAAGACTAGATAGGTAAGGGGAGGGGAAGGGTTTTGAGTGCCCTTAAGACAGGATTTTGTATTTGATCTTAGAGGTGATTGGACCCATTGGAATTTATTGAGTAGTTGGGGTTGACTTGGTCAGACTTGGGCTTTACGAAGATCAGTTAGGCAGATGAGTGGAGGATAAACTGGAGTGGGGAGAGACTTGCTGCAGTAGTCCAAGTGCAAGATGGTAGGGCTGCCACCAGCATGATAGCAGTGTCAAAGGAAAGAAGGGAAAGCATTTGAGAGATTTTAGGAAAGTAAAATGGATAGTATTTGCCCCTACTTTGGATGTGTGGGGAGGGGTAGTAAGAGTGAAGGATTGAGGATGACACCTAGATTGTGAGCTTGGGTGACTGGGAGGATGACGGTAAAAGGAAATTTAGGAAACAGTAATAGAAAAGTTAGGAAGGGGGTATAGTTTGGGAAAAGGATGATGAGTTCAGTTTGGGACATATTGAGGTTAAAATGTCTATAAGACATCCGGTTTGAGATATGTAATAGGCAGGTAGAGAGTCAAGACTGGAGGTTAGGAGAAAGTTAGGATTTAGGATTTGAGAATCATCATCAGTGATGATACTTGAATCCAAGGGAACTGATGAGATGACTAAGTGAAATAGTATAAAGGGAAAAGACAAGCAGACTCCAGGGCAGATCCCTGAGGGGTACCCACAGTTAGCAGGCATGACCTGGACAAAGATCCTTCAAAGGAAACTAAAAGAAGGAACAATTTGAAGTAGTATCACAGAAATTTAGAGAGAAGAGAATATCAAGAAGACTGTGATCGGCAATGTCAAAGGTGATGGAGAGATCAAGAAGGAAGAGGATTGAGAAAAGGCCATTATTTTTGTCAATTAAATCATTAATAACTTTAAGAGGGAACTGTTTTAGGTTAGTGATGAGTTTGGAAGCCATTCTGTAAAGAATTAAGTTATGGATGGGGAGAGAATTCTTGACCAAAATGATAGCAAAAGATAAATTAGATTATTTAAGTTACATGAAATTGTAAGGCTTTTACATGAACAAAATCAATGTAGCTAGGATAAGAAGGAAAGTGTCCATTGAGGAAAAAAGTGTTTTCATCAGCTATCTCCGATAAGGTTTGGTGTCCAAGATGTCTATATCTATATATCTATATCTATATCTATATAGCGCTCTCTCGCTTTCACTCTCTTTCA